CACAGCTGCAGTTCCACAGTTTGGTCAGCGCACGGCAGCAGGGAGCGGGCTGAATGGAAGTGGCGTTTATTTGCTTTCTGGCTGCTCAGTCTGTGCATCACAGGACAGTCTGAGCACCAGTGCCAGCACCATGCAAGTCCCTGGAGGTGCTGCTGCTCTGAACTCGTGCAGCTTCCAGAGGGAGCAGCACAGGGAGACTCAAGGGATGGCGACATGGGTGGTGCCACAGGCATTCAGCTTTCCCAAGGACATCATGTTGTCAGAACACACTTGTCTGCAGACACTTCATGAGGCTCAACCACATTTTGCCACAGACACTTGATGAAGCCAATAAAGATGCTAATTTTCCAATTGTGCACGTCTGTGCCTGGTCCATCTTGGCAGACAGATGCCAGCAGGCAGAGCAGAAGAGCCTCTGTGCTCTTCTTCTCCATGCCAAGCAGAAGTCATGTCTCTTCTGTGCCTCCGGTTCCCAACCACTGGGGCCTCCACTGGCATTGCTCCACCAGTGCCCGTGTCCACCTGGACGTGGCAGCCCCTTCCTGAACAGTGTCCAGGCACACCATCCCCTTCCCCACAGTGCCTCCTGAGTAGTTGCTGGCACAGCTGGCACAACCCAGCTGGCAGGACTGCCCTTGCTGCCCGGGCACACTGCCCACCCCTGCCCACCTTGGCCTCCAGGGCCGTTCCCACAGCCACGGCTGCTCCCGTGGCTCCTGCAGGGCATCTGCCCATCCCCAGGCCAGTGCTCGGGGACCCCAGCAGCCCATTCCCCTTTCGTTTAGTCCCTCCCAAGAGCTCCAGCATCAGCACTGCCACCCCCAGCACAGGGGCCTCCTCTCCTGGCTGTTGGCACCCTGCACCTCAACAGAAAAGGCACTGAAGAGCAGCCCGTGAGGGGCCCCCCAGGGCACACCTGCCAGCCAGGCCTGGGACACTGAGCAACAGCACCCTTGGAGCCACCACGCCCTTCTCTCTGCTCAGCCCCAGGGCCGGGGCAATTCCCAGGGCATCCTCAAGGGCCTCACGCTGACCTGGCACCACTGGCTACAGCCCAGCTGGCTCTCCCCAGTCCCCAGATCCTCCAGCACATCCCTGCGGCATCCAGGAACATTTGTGCCAACACCTTCTCAGGGACAGAGCAGCCTGAAGGCTCTCCCACCCCTCCTCCTTGCCTTTCTGGAAGATGGCTCTGGCAGTTGCAGAGATCACCAGGAGTCCCCCCCAGAGCAGCAGGCCCTTCTGGAGAGCACAGCAGGGCCTGGCACAGGCAGCACAGCTCCCCCCAGCCGTGGGACACTCCCCAGCCAGTCACACAGCCATGTGGTAAACGGTTTAATTAACACACTGACAGCACCAGCACCAGCCCAAGCTGGACTTCACCCACTGCTCTGCTTGGCCGCCAGTCTCTTGTCTCTCTCTTCAGCAATGGTCAGGCGGATGCCCTTTCCACGGGGCAGGGAGATCCATGGCTTGTTGCCCTGCAGCAAGGAAGAAGGCACGTCACACCAGGAAACGTGGATAGCAGCAGAGCTCTCCCTCTCAGGGGGAAAACAGCAGAAGCCCACCACTGCCCATGCTGGGCCAGCTACACACGGCTGTGGCACTGGCCCAGCAGAAGCCAATTAGGAAGGTGCGAAAAATGCACAGGTTTACAGCTGCCTCCTTCAGTCACATCCATGAAGGATGCACTTCAGCCAAAACCAAAATGCTGTCCCTTTCCAACCTGGACAAAGAGTCCATCGGGGATGGCAAAACAGCAGAGGCACTGGAGGGGCACTCAGTCAGGGCAGCTGCCCAGGTCATACCAAGGTCTGAGCACTCCTCAGCCCCCCAGCTCTCAGGTTTCAAAAACCACAGGGCTGCTTCTTGAAAATGTCTCCATTCATAAATTTGCAGGTGCTTCCCCTTCACAGAACAGGCAGAAATACAAGGAGCTGAGCCAGACCTGAGGCCAGCACTGGAGCTTCACTGTGTGGGAAGGCAGCTGCCTAAG